TATTATTATACATCTGGTCTGAGGAAGTAGACTTGTCCGCAAAAGCTCACGTTCAGATATAGCAGTTTGTCTTTAAGGTGCTACAATGTTTTTGTCTACTTTGTTTTTTTATTTTGTTTGATATGTTAGTAGAAACTAACATAGCTATCTCTTTGAAATCTCCAGTGGTATAGCAGTGAATTTGAAAAAGTTGATGCTTGTCATAACTGTCCTCAAAGGGAGGATTTAAGAAGTCCACCCCACCCCATAAGGAGAGTAGAATATGCAGGCAGACAGACCAATGTTCCTTTATGGGTATTGACACCAGTCTTGCTGTTTTTTTTATTTGTGTTACTGTTTAGTCTCTGTAGCAATTATATAATTTATGTTTTATATTTTTGTTGTATGTCACCCAGAGTGGCAGTTGGGTAAATGGGCAGTATATAAATTAGATGGATAAACAAACAACTGGGAGCAGGTGTTTTGTAAAGTGTTTAGTTCTTAACTGCCTATTTAAGACCAAACCACCCTCAAATGTTTTACATTACAATAATACCTTCTGAAGATAATGACAAATACTGTATTATTTGGATCTTTTCAGTATCGGTTGTTCATCATGCTCATTCAGATTACCTGCTATTAATCTGAAATTATTCCAGATTTGTTCACTTAGCTTTTCAAGTACTGTAGTAGTTCTAAAATCATTTCTCACAGCTCTGGCAGTTTCAAATGATTTCAGGAAATCCTGATCTTATACAGGACTGAACTCAGAATAGTGAAATAAGACACTCCTGTTATGGTGAACATCATCTAAATGTTGGTTAGAGGCTGCTTAGTACTTGTACATTTCACTGTGCAAAGTAAACATAATGAATTAAAGCTAATAATCTCTACAAGAATCAGTAGTAATCCAGTCTACGTATATTTTATAAGTAATCTATGAAAGAAAGATAGAAAGAAATAAAGATTGAGTTGAAAGCAAAGAGTGGAAAATGAAAACCATTTTAGAGGGAAGAAAAAGAGAGGTTTTTCTCCTGTCAAGAAATTACATCAGCTTCAGATCATCCATCTGTGTCACAAGTTTGGATGTGTCACTTAATTGCAACTAATTGTCTTGTCCTTAGTTTAGTGTTGAAAGGGAGAAGGAACTTCTTGTCTTTCTAGGCAACAGACATTTCATTATTTGATGAGGAGAGTTTTTACTCTTGTTTGCTTCCATTATTGTTTGCTCTTCCAATAACATATCTGGCTGGCCTACTCTTCTCCTCTTGTCCTTTTGAGCTTGGATTGACATGGTTCTGTTAAATTTTACAACTGTATACAGTACTGGGATATGGACTGCAATGGTGACTTTGGCCAGGATAATGACACTACTGGTACTACCCTGTGTTTCCCTGAAAATAAGACAGGGTTTTATATTAATTTTTGCTCCAAAAACGCATTAGGGCTTATTTTCAGGGGATGTTCCCCCCATGTACATTTATTCAAATACAGTCATGTCATCTTCTTCTGGTTGCTGCACAATGGTGGAGGGTGGGGTTTCATTTAACTGGGGCTTATTTTTGGGGTAAGACTTATATTACAAGCTTCCTGAAAAATCATACTAGGGCTTATTTTTAGGTTAAGTCTTATTTTTGGGGAAACAGAGTAAGCCCTACCCCAAAAATAAGCCCATTAAGTGAAACCCCGCCCTCCACCATTGTGCAGCAACCAGAAGAAGATGACATGACTGTATTTAAATAAATGTAGATTGTTGTACATTAAAAAAATAGAACATGCCCTGAAAATAAGCCCTAATGCATTTTTTGAAGAAAAAATTAATATGACCCTCTCTTATTTTCGGGGAAACATGGTAATAGATTCACTGCATTGGAATGTATATATATTTTAATGTAGCGTGCTCACATGACCCTAAGCATGTTTATATAGAACAAAACCAGAATCATGTCAATACACCTGTGAAAATCCAGTACAACTGAATGGAGCTTATTTTTAAGAGATAGGCATACAGTTGTTTTGTTCTGCATAACAAAAACAGGATAAAAATAAAAACAAAACATTCTGGCTTCTCAACAGTAACAAATTTACTTCAGTGTGACATTTCATGGATTATAGGTGCCCAGACACACATACACCACTGCACTATTTAAAAGGAAATATTGCTCTAATTCTTCACTAATTTAATTGGTTGAAGAATTCTCAATCAGTGGTTTTCCATGAATCTCTGTTTATGGTAGTTACATTTTTTTTATTCTATAGGTGTCGCCTTCCTTACCATATAAATATATGAGGAATTTATAATCATGAAAATCGTGTACAGAACGGAGTCCATGAAGCTCTTATCTTAGACAGGACATTTGCCAATCTGTATTCCGTTTGACTTCCAACTATGGTGTTTATTTTCATTTGTGAAAAATACAACAAAAACCCTCAGCTGCAATCTGTCCATACAGCTGTAGGTATTAAATCACAATAAAAACAATTTAAAAATCAGAATGAGGTATCTTAATTTACTTATCTTGGTACTATAAAATGCCAGAAAAATAAATTCCTTCTAGTCTTTAAGTTGCAATCCAATATGTATAACTTGAGAGTAAGTCCTATGGCTCTCAATGGAATTTATTTCTGAATAGACATGCATGAGTTTGCACCTGAAGAAACTTAAAAACAGATAAATGGAGAAATCAAAACAGTGGTACTAGAAATGTAAATGACTAGAAAATGATAACATTGGAATTGAAAATAATAA